GCGGCACCGACGGAGGAGGACGATGAACGCACTCCCTGTCACTTACTCAGATTACGGGGCTTTTCGGGAGGTTTGCACCGAATTGAAACAGATCTCGTCAGGTTTCTTCAACAGGCTTCGGTCAATACACTATTCCAAAGGTAGCTTCAACTCTCGTTGGGTGCAGGAGAAAATCCCGCGGCCCGAAAATCCCGTGAGGCCAACAATCCCGTAGGCCCAAAAATCTCGCCAGGTCCGAAAATCGGACCCGGCGATTTTCGGACTTAGTTTGGCTGGTGAGCGAAATTTCCGCTGTTCTGTAAAATACTGTTCTTATATTCACCAGTTCGTGGATGTAAAAAGCTTGAGAAATATTGTACTGATATTATTCGACTGCTTGCACAGCGATAGGATACGTGAAGTGTGTAATAAAGGGAAAGACGATTCCGGACTTTTATACTAATTCCACAATAAAGATGGACTCTCTTTACAACGATCTTGTCCACAATTTTCTCAGTATAAAAATGTTTACTGGTTCCACAGTGTTTTCTCCCCATGTTATAAAGATTATCTGCAACGAATTTTTTCTGATCCCTTTAATTTCGTTGTAGAAGGAGTCCAACTGTATTGGATACAGAACTTTTAAGAGCCAGATTTAATATCAGCTGAGAAAAAGGAAATCACCTGAATTTTCCGTTTCAGGTCAAACAAGAAAAAAATCAAGTATTACAGAAGAATACAAAATTGCGGAATTGCGCGAAATAAAATTCGTGGGTTTAGATCGCTGCTAAACCGCGTAAACGACCGGAATTTTTTATAAGTAACAGCTCGAAATACTTCACTGTATACTGAGACGCGTTTAGATTTTTCGACGCTCCAGCGCAGGTTTCTCGACCAGTTGTTCTATGTACCAGCGGTGGTACAGGTATGTAATTCAAAAATTAATATAAATTGGCGCAGAGTGACTAAAGGGCATTATAAAGTTGCACGTAGAATGTATCTCACAGGTAAATCGTGCGTTAACCATAATTTAACTGATCCACGTCGTCAAATCAAGTAAAAGCAATACGTTTGGTATTCAGTACCCAGAACGTGGTGAACGAACATCCCTAAGTCCAAAATTAAAAATTCAGAGCCATGTCGAAAAATCCCAATTTCAGCAAGTTCTCAAAATTTCAAGACGAGCACATCGGTATTACTCAGAATTCCTCATTAGCATACCATCTATGATACGATGCCATCATACAATAAAAATACGTTGCAGTACTGTACCATTGCATTATTCGAAGAATTAGGCAGTCCTTGCGCCTTTGTCAAACCGCGGGGAGCTAGCGGGAAAAGTTTTTAACACAAGGCACGTCATGCGAGAGCTCAAAAAATGTTGAATACTGAATTTCCGAGATTCTTTTTCATCGCGGAGGACCGTAATGCCTTAACAACCTTTACGCAGTCCGAATCTTTTCAATTATTCAACTGAGCGAGTCAGAATGTGGCGTAGGAGGTCGTTTAACCGAATACGCATGCTACAACAAACAGGATTCTTTGCGAACTCTTTTAAATTATCGTCATACTCATAAATAGCAAATGCTTGCGGAAGCACTTCACATACACCGAAGAAGAGTTCTGTTTGCGCTGTCGCGATCTATTCGTGGTAGAAAAATCTCCCCTAGGGAGCACGGTTTTCGGAAAGTCTACATTGATTCCGAGGAAGAGAATCGGTAGACTACGTTTGCCGCTCAAAGGAAATCAGCACAGACTGGGTCTCGCGGAGTCCAAGGTTATGCAACTATTTGCGAAACAAAAGCAACAAAAAGGGCAGACAGTGAAATGAAAACTCGGCGGCGATCTCCCGACTCTCAGCGCTTCCCCCCACGGAACCGACGCATGTAAAGTCGTAAGACTTCCACTTTCCAAAATTCTGAGGGAACACAGGGAATCGAGACTCATATTTCTTCTCATGAAGTTGAAAGCCGGCAAACTAAGAGTATTCACGGAGTTAAACGCCAGGCGGGAAGAATTCATTCGTAACATTTTCAACACCCTCTACTGAAGAGCCACTTGAACTCGATTTTCGCTTATCTCTACCTGCATAATTGGAACACCGATATAATTTCTTCGAATAAAGTTTGAGGGAAATAAATTCCGAGGAAATGGCAGAATACTATTCTTCACACGACGATTCATTTCCAATCTGCTGAATGGAAATACAGTATTTCCCCCAACAGATCGCTGCAGACGGAACCTTCGAAAATCACGTTCATTTCATCATACGACTATAAAAATACTTTCGATACAAAAATCGCAAATTTTCAGAGGTACAGTATGACATTTTTAAATAATTAAAATATGCCTAGGCAGTAGCAAATAAGATAGACAGGGTAAAAGTGAACCCACGGGAGGGTGATCAGCAGATTCACAAATTAGAGACAATGCCAAAATATTGAAGAGCACTGAACTAATGCATTATGAGAGACGATCATTGTTCAAGAAACTTGAAATAATTTGAATGAACTTCAGTTTAAAACAGTCTCATTCGTATTCGCCAGAAAAGACTGTTCGATCAGAGGATTCCTTGCTCAATTACTAAACATTAAGCTTGTTATGCAATAGAAAAATCCTGGGAATGAAGGAAGAATCATGCGAAGATAAGGAAAGCTCTTTGAACCCTGAATCCGAAAAGTTTCAATTTTGATATCTTGCGGCATGCAGTGAGCTATGTTTTGAATGCGGCAGCAAATAAGCTCCATACAGTGATCTTCTGGTAACCGAATGATGGAAGTCATTGGAAGGAGAAAGGCAATGACCTTATAACCACGAGCAGCGCACGTGATTCAAGCAGAACATATACCCCTACAGCTGCTTCCAAGAGGATCAACCCATTTTTTCAAGTGCGACAAAACAAAAAAGATTAACACAGGGCAGGATTTGGACAGAAATTACTTGATTAGCCGCAGGGCTAAAATCGTGGGTCAGTAATAAGGTCTGAAGCTAACTCCGGATTTCAAGCTTGAATGCGCAAAGCCTAATGGAGGCTGAAGCTTCCTCCGGCATGAAGTATTCTTTCCACGCGGGTTCCCTGCTTTAGGCCGCATTTTATTTTCTTCGAAGGATTCTCGGTCGGGAAACGCCTTATCAGAATTCTCCCAACCGCCTCAAATTCTTCAAAGCATTGGAGATTTCATTTTATAAAAAAAACCTCGTTCATTTTCACTTGAAAAAAAAAAAAACTGGTCCAGCTATCACTTAGTCGCGCGTATTTCATGATTCTATCAAAAGCGACCCTCGTTGAGATCATTAAAATCGTTACCCGTCTCCATCCGAGTAGCTCTTCGCTCGAAATGAAGATTCAAGATAACTTTGGAAACACGTCTACATCATACGGAGACCATGTTCGATATACCATGGTTTATCGTCGCTCAGTCCTAGCATGTTATTCTCATTCTTCGTTCATGAATTACGAAAGATCCGATGCATCACCTTCATCAGCTGACGAGCCATCGGAACCATACGATATATGAAGATTCAAATTTTTGAAAAAAATGTTCCGCGTTATTCATAGCAAGCGTAAAGGAATCAAACGTTCAGATAACCAGGAAGCAATCAGATGAACGACCAATCGATTTGGTTATGGGAAAGCTACGACCAGCACATTCGATATATTCATCACGTAAAGTGGTCCACAAACTCGAGGTAAAATGAGAACTATAAATAACTTCGAAGTCAAGGTCGGGAATAGCGTTGGAAAAGTAAGAACCGTCGGGCGATGAGGTACCTTTACATACAACACAAATGCCGACATTGTGGACACTTGAAACAGCTGAAGTCGCATTGACTCTTCGATAACTAACGAATGCGTGCATAGAAAGCACAGCGAAAACAAACAGCAGGTACACCTTGACCCAAATTCCGCCGAATCCAAAAAAATTCCTTCAGAATCTCAAAACGTGTTCCACGATAATGACTACAGAAAAAAGTTCCACGAATTTTCCGATGCTGAGACCAAAATTCCTGGTTATAAGCAGATTTTCAGACTAAGAACGACACAAAATCCCTAAATAACATGAAATCGAAACGTGATTGGCCTGTATTTCAGCATTAATAGGATCTCAGAAAAAACTACGGGCCGAAAGAGATCGGGAATTTGAGAAAAAGCAAAACATGCAGCGAAAAAAATTGCTGATCTTCCAGAAAGAATTTCAGTTGTTTCTCATGATTAATATATGCAATAAAATATTGAAGATAGGTAGCAAACAAGTTCTGGACCTAACCTGTGATGAAAAAAAAAAAAAGAACTCGTAAATCCGTCATGATCAAAAGAATTACCGTTCCGAAATTACTAGATCCTGTCCATGCAAAATCACTTCAATCGTTCAAGACATTTCGGCGTGATTATAAAACGTGTAGTGGCAACCTAAATTTGATTCAGGAGGTCTTCTACTTTCTATCTGTATTTTTAGAGAATACCATAGCTGAACGTAGGTCTTCGCGATGATCTTTCTTCATAACTCTCGCATGCATTCCACGAATGCAAAAAAAAGACAATGGCAATTGCAGGCCGAGGTACCTTGCCCCACTTCAACGAGTGCCAAGCTAACAGAATAGCCGAACAGGGCATAAACTCGATACGGGCACTGATAACTGCTTTCGCTAGCAACAGGAAAAAAATCTGATTCCGCATATTAAAATTCCCGACTTGGGATTTAGGGTGGGAACTGATCTTGGCGCGCATACATAATCGCAGACCGTAGCTTGGGGTACAACCAGAGGCAAAATCATCCGGATTTCGCAAGCTTAGAACAAGAACTACCCTCGTGATGCGCTCAGCCAACATGAGCGCAGGAAATTCTCGCGTCCGTAGGGAACACGGAGACGTGCCTCGAACAACCAAACTTTCCATAATGCCTTGTATCGGCAAACACAAAAATCTTCCCGAGACCCGCCTGCAAATATTTCGTACCTCGTTCAAGATTCAATAATAAGCAACCGCGATGAAAACCGCAGCGATCATTGAGCAGCGAAAATCATCCTGATCGACAGAATTTCAAGAACAAAGCAACAGCCCGCCACGCATTCTCAGCATGAGTAAGCAACATAGGCATGATGCATCTGAATTTGCACTCAACACTGTTTAAAATTGCTAGAACAACAAAAAAAACCAGCAAACCATGGTTGCGACAAAACAAAAAACAAGTTCAATATTAGAAATAAGGAACTGGAGAGTCAGTCTGAAAAATATCAATCCTGCGACCAATAAGCTTGATGAATAAGGAGGAATTTTTTTCTCAACACGACAGGAAAGAACAATATGCGACGCAGCAAAACTGCTCGTTAGCCGCGATCAACTATGAACGGACAATCGGAATATACTATACAGTAGTAAGTATAGGTTCTTAATTCGCTGCAAGGAAAAAGTCGACCTCCATTCCGTACGCATACAAATTTTATTCGTCACTAAGAACTCACCCGTTTGCTATGATGCTTCCGTTAGGAACTTCATCCAAATTAGTTTCCAGAGGAGAACTAATCTCAGAAACTTCCGCAGTGGTGTTGCCACGGTCGGACATGCTCTCAGACAGTTCATCTGCAGAGCTTACGTCACCAGCCGGCGACGTTACCGTGACAATCATGTCCACGACTGGTGACTTCCTTGCGCAGCTATCGGCTGCGACTTTGTTCGAACCGTCCATAAGGTATTTGATTTCACCAAAACACGAGACCGATTTTTAACGCGAATCAAAGTACAATACTTCGAATCCACAACAGTGCCCGCTTCCCCGGTCACTCGGGAAAACAAAATTGCGCGATTCAGCGGAAATTCCGAGGCTACCGCATGACATGTTGAGGGAAATTAAAGCCAGAATGAAAAAAAAGGACGTTCCGAGGTAGCACACTCTCAAAGGTATTCACAGGAGGCCGACTTTTTGTTGACTGCACTCACAAGGAAACGAAATCGGTCGAATGGTGCTTCAGGGGACACGAGTCTCATTCGTCGACATGAAAGTAAATTTCTGCGATTTTGTTTTCGCCGTTCGAACAATGAAAAGTTCGCCGTCCGTCTCACGAAAATAGAAATAAAAAGAAAGACCGAACATGTGTTGCCCTCACTGCAGTTGAATGCCGGTGCAGTATCGAAGATAAAATTTTCCTTCAGAGAATCAGCACTTTCAAAATAAACTGTTCGACATTGACCACGATTTAATTAAAACAAGATTGATTAGAGTTGCACAGGAGTTCATTACAACACAATCAAAAACGGTATTCACCGACGGACGCAAAAAAAAAAAAAAAAAAAGATCAATGCGTTCTGGCGTGCGAAATCGAAATTCTTTGCTGTTGGGTACGAAAAGCTTCCAGGATAAATTTCCACTGTTGGGAAATTCGTTTCGAGGCTGAGCTTGACCGAGACCGTCCGATTTGTTACCGTTCGAAGGAGAAAAAGAGAGGAGTACTTCGCTGAAACTTTTCGAAGAAATTTCTCAACCTGAAGCCGAGGAAACATCGGAACGTGATGACGAGCAACGCGCAACACACACTTACACCACGACCACTGTCGTGCATTTAAGCGACATGATCCAGGGACTGGTCATTACCAGATTCATGTCCAAAGGAATCGCCGGATCTTGCCGCGTCGCGCGGGGACAGGACACTGAACCGAACACAATACCTAGCTCGAATACCAGCCGTCCGCGAAGTGAGTCTGGGGGTCGGCAGGCAGGGGAAACAGTTTTCTTCGGGTTTAATCGATACAGTTAACGCAGTACCAGCGAGGGACTGGCCAATTTTTGATATATCCCTTTCCATCAGTCCACTACTCCATTGCCCCTCACTCCTTTGCCACTCATATTTCCGAAGACGGAATTAAATTTTAACTCTAATTTGGCAACAGCACTGCAATGGAACCCAGATCTTCCGGGCTCTCGACTTGGTGTCTCTAAGCGGAGAACAGATTAAATAAGAATTAAATCAATCATGAAAAATGCTAAGGCTTGTAGAAATTTCATTGTACACGAATTTCCACACAAAAATTGAATTCGTCAGAAAATAAATAAATAAAAAATCGTTGACCACAACGCTTCTGATCGACAATTAAAAATGTTGACACGTTTAATCAATTGCACGGATAATTGACGTTAACCTACCTATAAATCAACGCACATTATAAGTTAATTCATGTCACCTCCCACAGTCGGTAACTACTGTAATCGATAAATACAAGGTACAGTATTTCAAGAAATTAAACGCTGTGCACTATGTACTGATGCGGGCGTGATCTGAATACACATAAATCAATGTCTACTCAAACTAATAACATTAACGCTTCGTATCGAAGATGCAGTTCGTTTCGAAGCAGACAATCTCCCGCTCCGCTGCCTTAGGTGAATCGTCATTTTTAGTCCGAAAGAATGGAATTGAAAAAAAAATTCACCTCGACCAAATTTTAAATCGACTGACTCTTCTAACATCAGAACACAAGAGCTTGGGAAGCATAAAAAACTAATGATCATTGAATCGATTCACGTTTCTTCCACGCAGTGATTGAAGAGATTGGATTAATTTTGTGAAGTCGTCAGATGAAAAGTGTGCGGTGGTTCTAAATGAGCATTGTATCGTAATGCTGTACTTCGGAAATACAGTTGTAGTTGACTAGAACTTCGACCATCAGGAATAAATGACCAGGCGTATTCACCCATACATTAAAAAACCTCAGATAATAAATTAAAGCATTTAAAGATGCTTTCAACGAATTTACAGCATGTACTCTATTCAGATTTCCTCCAAAAATACCTTTTTTCTACATATCCGCAAGTATCAGGGGATTAACCTCATCATCGACCTAAATCGATTCCATTCAACGATTCTAACAATCTTGAATGAAACAATCCATAGTATTTCGTTGAAAATAAATAAATAAAGCGACTCATTTTAACAATACACCAACCACTTTCTTTCCGCTTAACGAATACTCCATACATTTTTGCAAGACTGATCGAATGCTCGGGTAATCAAAGTCCGGAAAATTGTATTGCACGTCTATTGTAATCACGTTGTTTCCAGGACGGGTTATCAAACGCCGAATATGGCGGCACTGCACTGAATGCATACACGGGGCGTGGAAGCTGGAGCATAGATTCCGAATGCACGAGCAGGAGGATTCTCCAGGGTCTGCCGCTTGCGCGCGTTTCACACCTGCGAGGAGACTGAATGTACCGAGCGGCCGAGTCTGGTGAGGCGGGTTTATTAGTCAGCCCGCGGGATTATTGATCATTGCGCGGCGATCCGCAGCGCCAGCAATCAAGCCGTCGGCATCAAGACACCGGGGATGAAAAACCGACAATTAAACACGAATGCGGTAACAATTCCTCCGCATTCCTCAGCAACGCGAAGGCCCAACGAAAAGCTAGGAAAGCGTGAACCACTCGCGACATTTCCCAACAGCCTGACGGTTACCGCCTGGACGAAAATTCGCAGCTTAGCAATTGCAAGACGGATTTCGCTGCGCGCATTTGACATCCGAACGCCGACATTCGGTTTAGTTGGCGGCGAAGGGCAAAAATCTGCAGAGCATGACGAGGGGCCTGAGAGGGGAAATAGACGAGTCACGTCGCGTTTCAGCGAGGGGAAATGTTACGCTGCGTAGCCACGATACCCGGCAAGTTTTTGTTTTTTATATTTCACGCGTATATATTTAGGGCGGATTTGATGCTCGTCGTATGAATTGGTGCCCATTCGTGCCACGCAACACTGGAATCCGGACGATTTCAGCCTGATGTCGGGTTAAGCACGCGTGCGTAGCCACCCCACTTGACCGGAACCACGCAGACAGACGATACACAATCGCGAGTTCAGAGAGAGCTGCGCGTCAGATTAAAAAATTCCAAGCTAATCGCAGACTCTGATCAAACGCAGAATGTCACCGCAAGGCAAATCAAGCGCCCGGCTGAGCTTCCACAAAATTCAAAAATGCACTTGCGATCGGACGGAATTTTTCTAGCGTACAGTACTTGATTTCAATCCCAGCAAACATCTTCCAAGGCTTGCAGGCGAACCCTCTAAAAACGATTCTTAGTACAGCGACAACGTTCGGACAAAAAAAATGTACTGTATTCTGGTCCCAGCAGACATCCGATGCATCAGGCACAGTATGTATTTCACGGCATTGAAAGATGAAAATTCTAAGGCCACTGAAATTGGGCAATTTTAAAAGCGAAAAGATTAGAAATTTTGCCTAAAAGCGAAAAGATTGGACATTTCGTGAAATTGTTGACAGGACCTTCGAAGATATTTTCAGCGATACACAGCATAAACACCATGAATACCAACTACCAAGGTAACCCATTACTTGAAGCCCGGGAAACCGATACAATTGCGAAACAAAAGCTCATGAATTTTAAAATGATTGAAATGAATTAGAATTTCGAGGACGCGGGAGGTTTTCCGTCTGACCCAGGATTCGATCAGTTGTGTTTTAATGCGTTAGGCCGAATAACGTGATATGAGTTTGGTAATACTACCCTTTGAAGAGAGAATGACACTAACCCAATCCGGCTTTTACACTTCCTTCACCTGGTATTGGGTTAGTAGAGATTTGCGATAATTTGCATATGTGTGCACAACGCCCTTATGACACAACGTGGAAATGATATCATCAGCTCCATTCTACCGAACACACGAATAAAGAAGTAGAAGAAAGCCATTTAAAATGGCCAGGGCCTCGTTCGAAGCGCAGACTGTTGATTCGTATTTAATTGCTACGTCAAGTTTGAAGCATGTGATTTTACATCCTTATCAGCTCCGTTGCGCATCCCGTGACGTGAAACCCCACTCCAACCAATTCCACGAAGTGAATCTGAACTGAAGTGGATACATTTTTGGCATGCCATTCTCGGAATCAGCCCGCACATGGAATCTTGACTGTCGCGGAGTTCGATTCACGGGTATGGGCATGCTCATCAAATATCGATTCAACCAAGTGGTGCACGTACCAAAACACAGATATGCCGGCTGGGCGTAAATCTAGTGCAATAAGCACTTTCAATTTTCTTCTGGTTGCTAGTCGCATGTCCACAACACCTTTAAAAAAACATTTTTTTAACCTTTGTTATTTTCAACAGTACTCGAACGCGAAGAACCAATCCAAGTGTTGCACAAATCTTCGGCATCACGGACCCTAGATCGAACTTTTTTGTCTGATGAGAAACATTTTTGCAGCAGGATAGTCCTCAAGGTTTGATGAAGAATTAACAAAAACCTGTACGCTGATCAAGTTTCACAGCTTTCCATTATTTTTGAGTACTGAATCCCGAGTAAAACCCCTTCCCAACAGCAAAAAGTAAAAAAGTCGTAACAAAAAATGAGCTTCCACGAAAAACCATAAGAACCATGTTCGTGCTGGAGTTTATCTGTTTTCCATTCTAAATAGTCCGGTTTCCGCGGAACAGTCAAGGAGGATGATGCAATCGGAATACCTGTACAGTGAACTAGATCCACTAAATCATCGAGAAAGCTGGGCATTTTTTCGGAATATAACAGTCCTGGATTAAGCAATCGCATCAAGTTCGAAACCTGGACACTTCAACGTACAGAAATCAGCTTAACTGATAATAATGTATTGACGAAAATAAGGAAGACGCGGATGTAGGTCTTTGATCGAAATTGAAGTTCAAATCCCGTCATTTCTTAAGCATGATGTAAATGTTACACATTTATCCGTGTGGCAAACAACACAAAAAAGAAGAAAACTAAGGAGCAGCAAGATTCTCGTTCGATTCTAAGTTGAAAAGAATACATGTATAGTACTGTAAAATGAATGAGCTTCTACAAGATTTCCTCGCAACGTGCAATCAGATTTCCCACCATGTAATCCTCCAAAAACCCCAAGAGTTCGACTAGTACACATTTTCTTAACGAAAAATATCGCTATCAGTTGGACGCAGGAAATAATGCATGAAGCATCGGGCGAGAGCAAAAGACTAAGAATCTTGATTTAATAGTTGAATATGTTAGATTTTAAAAAACGCGGCATTACAACAGACCAGTAGTCATATAATATTTTATATCCATTAATACTTCAAGAACATAATACTGTAGCAAGATTTGAGAAATTTACCCGAACTCCAATCCCTCTTTCCATGTGCATGAAAGTAGACAGAGAGGAATAGAATACAGTACTGTACAATATGACTTGAAAAAATTTGAGCAGTTCATGTACAGTACTGTAATTTAAAATCTGCCCCAACCTCTGTAAGTAAAAGTTTCTTTTAATGAATCTGGTGAATAATCCACGCTTGAAAATACGCTCGCGAAAAATGCGTGTCGAGGTTTTGACATGCTGATCACCGTATACAGTATTCCAAGAAATTAAGAAAAAATCTGGAATTTCGTAGAGGATTTGCAGAGTGCCGCACATAAATTCGGGTACATGTCTTACGAGGGAGGGAATTCGGATTTTACCACCATAGGAAATTCAGGGCGTCGGTAATTCTTTATTCGGCGAAGTATTCATTCGAGATATTTTCCTTTTACAACAGTTCGAGTCGACCTCATTCGAGTATAAGGAAGTATTTCTTGAAACTTGCGATCATTTCACACGCACGACATATTTTTTTTTCCGGATACCGCGGTTTCTATTTTGCCAAAAGACTATTCTAGCGCGAAGATCCGCGGTATACATTTTTTTCAATTCTACGACGATTCGCACAACATTTTATTGAATGGCAAACGAGGGTCATCCGAAATGTCGTGAGGTACCGTAACTCTTCTCGAGCAAAATTCGACTCTTTTATTAATGTAAGAAAAACCAACTACTGTACATACGCTTCAGTAATGCTTCGAAAACTCAGTCGAAGAAATACAGTCCTGAGTATTGCGCATTGATTTGGATCGCTTTCGAACTGCATGAACCGATGACGAGAGAACCCAGTCTAAAGCCGTCCTTCCGATTTATGTCATGAGAAGACACACGTTCGGCAAAGTAGAAGGGGACACCAAGAGTATTTGATAAAATGATGCCGGAGCAATACAAAAAGAGGCGCATACGTCGCGAACATTAACCGGCGGTGCGGAAGTTGGAAGAGAAGCAAACACAAGCCTTCTCGGCAAATTTGAGTCCCAATGATACGTCATAACGCTTATCAGTTCTTCGCGAACTCCTCCATGTCTTGGCTTTGGCTAGCAAATGGCGGTCTACATCAAACAACAGAAATAGGACGGCGGGACCACTTCCAGTAAACACGTCCAAGAACCCACAGAGAAAAAAAAAAACGGAACCGTACTGGGGCCCTTTCTTATTTTTATCGGGTGCGCGGCAATTCCTAGATCTGTTCCCCGCAGCACGGATTTTTTTCCTCAAGGATAAGCGAATCCTCAAGGCATCTATTTTAACTCGGAACGATCCTTCCCTCGACATTTACTGCAATCCAAACAACTGGGGATATTTCCTGAAGTAGAGAATCCTGAATTCTTTTACAGTTCGAGTTGACGGAGGCCGAACAGGAATTCCTAATCCGCTGAGTAAATATCCATGATTTGCGTAAACTGTATCAACAAATCCCCTAATATGATTCAGAAGACCACCACACATACGCTTCCTGATAGGAAATGATCTATCAAATCGAGGACCCGGTTTTCTTCCTTACTTTTCGACTCCACGATTCCACCGCAATCGATGGTCAACTCATTAATGCATCGGTCGCCGTAAATCTGCTCGCATTGATCACCAGAACTCCTGGAATCATTCAGCCACTCCAAGCAACTTCAAGGAACTTACGCGGAGAGATTCGCTGAATAATAGACAACTCATTTCCCCAATCACGTACACCCTTCAGGCGGGATTTAAATCACCGCCAGGAGCAAGGCAGAGGAACCAGGCGAGGGCAGGCAGGAACGATCCACTTCCTCAACACGCACGTTCGCACGGAAGCACGCGAATAGCCTACTTTTATCGTTCGTCCATTGCCGTTTCTCCATTGCAACAAGACCAAAGGCGCCGCAAGTTGGCTACCGAAGAACAAGTCCCACCCAACGCATTTATTGTTCATTGCCAAGACAGGCAGCGTGAGAAGAGTATCAAGGTCGTCCATGCATTTTCAAAATTCTCTTGAACTCGCTCGTCAAAGTAATACATTACAGTAATGTAGTCTGAAATACAATGAAATTGACTCGGCGAACCGACACCACCGAGTAATCGGTAAATTAGTAATCATTCATCGTTGCAAGACGTAGTTTTCTCAATGCCAAAACAGGTAGAACAAAAAGTTATGTACAGACACGAATTTGAACATTTCAGTCACGATCTCAATCTCGCAAGAAAAAATTACAGAATAAGAATCTGAATTGAGAACAACGGATAACTCTCGCTTCCGAGTCAGCACTGCCCAAACCAAAGAAACACAAAAATTGTATACGTTGCCACAACGGATTGTATCCGTTGTGGCGCGACGTTCGTTATATTCGCCGCACGGCAGCGATAGATACTCGAACAACGAAAGCATGCCCCAATTCACCAGGAATGTTCGTAATACTCCGACTACGTATTTCCGCGAAGTCACGGAGAATCCCTGAAAAATATTTCGAAAGACATGGATGCATCAAAGTCGAATGGAATAATTTTTCGCTGGAACAAGCAAGAAAAAAAATCAGCGATCCATCGAAGACAAAGGAATTGCAAAACGGTGCGGCCAAGATCAAGGCCACCCCGTCGGACCAATCCAGGAAACTTTCACAAAATCACTACTTTCTTTTTTTTTATTCAGCACAATTTCACTTTTAAAAATTTGATTTCAGGTTTCTACACAAGAATTAAGTCGAATGACAGAAAGACACGTTCGTCAAGTACTCGTGTGCATAGCTGTTGCATACGAGGGTTATTCAGAGTTTGCTTTGACAGAAATACGGTGTACTGTATCTGGGATAGTTGGTTCCAGAACTAATTTTAATCTCTTATGCTAAATGAAATATTCCAGGCTCTTTTCCAAAGGAAATGCAAAATCTGGACGAATTTTCATCAACATGTTTGATGGAAAATTAACCCTTTCCAATGAAAGCCAGATTGTGGCATTTTTCAGAGTGCTGAAAATTTGTCGAAGCAGCAGCAGTCGCAAAAAAAGCAAAACGATTCTGATGATGAAAGTACAAGTTATTCTGGGTGATGGCAGTAGTGCAAAAATTATAAGAAAATATGGAAATGAAAATCTATCCGCAATAAAATTAAATACATCATCAGACTCATTCCCTCTATCTCGATACAGTTTTGATTCCCTTGAATTAATGTCAGAAAAATGAATGCAGCCTTGAAAATATTTCCGAGCTCTCCTCGTCCCAAAATTTCATCTGGAAAAATAAATGTTAAGCAGATCCGAATGAGTTGATTTCTTGCCTGTTACAATCCAACACACTTCGACAAGTTCTATAAGGAAGATTTTTTTTTCAGGAAAATAAAACCAATTCAAAACCGCATTAAAGTAGAAAAAGTAAAACCTTCTATATTAGATTATTTCTAAACGTATTACAGTACTGTATTTCTCACTGTTTCAATTTCGAAATGACAGATCGGGTCGGATAAAATTCAGTAAAAACGTGAATTCACTGTGCTATCTTCCATCATGCAACGTTTATTTTTTGTCCATCCACCGCAAGGAAAATACAGGATAAACACTGTATCCAAAATAGTGAAAATGTAATGGAGCATCAGGAACTACGTACTGTATTCCTCCAATTCCAGACAAAAAAGTAGTTGAGTTTGGTTCACTGCTTTGACAAATTTTCCCCCTACCATGAAATGATCGTGACTCTCTGGCCGTCACAATGAAGTTCGAAAATTTTCGCCCTGTCTTGTGATGCAATTTCGTACGAATAGTTAATTCTTTTTAAAAAGGCTTTAAGCCAAAAATATTATACATGACTATCAATTCATTTCGATTCGTCGACTCTTCTAGAAATACTGTGCAAATTTCTATAAGCAGACAGAAGAACATGCCTCAACTTCCAGTACACGCTAACTTCAGTAGGATTACACGTAGGATTATGGGTAGATTATAAAATTTCTAACGTACAGAAATTATAAATTCTGCCTACATTCTTATGAACAAACTCAAATGTTTCATGATTTCAATGTTTCCAGTAGTCCCAGTTCCTCGCGAGCTATTCCAAAATTGTGATTGAGATGGGTATATTGTACATTCGACATACATGTTGAACTTCATTGGAGGTGTTTTACGGGTAATATATAATATTGAGGGAGGTATCAGATAGGTGCGCTATGGATTAACGGCGTATATCGGCCTTTATTTTCCAGATATACAGTACGCACTTATCGTTCTCGCTTCAAGAGCCTAAATTCGTGAAGGGTTATCCTGTAGTGCATTCTGCAGTGGAGTGGGCATTCAAGTGTCCAGATGAATTTTTCAGTTTCCTGGTTCTGGAACACGCCGCGAGTGCTCATCAAGGGCCAACTTTTCCCCGGTACCTTTCAGATCTACCAAGTGAATGGCCCATGAGGATTGAATACGAATTCAAAACCGACTTCAGACCCGGTTCGACTTATTTCTAGAAGCGCTCCTTGAGCAGAATATTTTCCATTGAAGTGATGCCGTATTCATCCATACTGTATACTCGGAAACTTCCGATTATAGCACCGAAGTACAGTACCTCGATTCACCATGAAAAAAAATTGTACAATTCGCCCGAAGCCCAATTCCCAGCCGTCCGCATTCCTCGACCTGATTTTGGCTAGCGCACTCGGCAGTTCTCTCTTCGGAATAACGATTCTTTGAGAATGGAAAGTTCACTTTCAGAGCCGTGCCGACGAAGCTCCGTATTAGTTCCAAGGCTCTTCCATCCGAGAAATACTGCACTTCTGTATACTGAGAAATCAAACGTCTCGCATTGACTATCCATTTCTAACTTTACCTTCTTGTGTATGGAGATGATGCCGTCGAACTTTTTCTTACTATTTATTTATTCATCAATTATTTTTGAATCACCTCCAACGAGCTTTTACTGTACTTCAGTGCTATAATCGGAAGTTTCCGAGTATACAGTATGGATGAATACGGCATCACTTCAATGGAAAATATTCTGCTCAAGGAGCGGTTAGTATTTCTGAATCCACTGATTTCTGCGTATTCCCCGGATCGCGCTGAACTATTCACGATGCATACATGAGAGTATGCGACAAGCCTATCGTAAGGATCACCAGATCGGAGAATCAGAAGACACGTGTTAAATTAACTTCAACATATACAGCAAATTCCTTTCCACGCCTTCATTATTTTAATTTCGACTCATACGTTTAAAAAAAAAACAAAAAAGAAAGAACACGTGCATTCTAGGTGCACAAATGAATAAATAGGTGGTTTCCTGGTGCCAATCGAAAAAGGAGATTTTTGGATATTTCGATGGAGGTTCGAAATTCCCACAGAGAGCTAGTAAGTGAAGGTCATGGTAGAATTGATGCCCAGTATTGTACAGGAATTGATTGATCTCAGCCTGACTTTGAATGAAGTGTGCGGTAGACTGGTAGAGCATCTGCTTTTGTTGTGCCTCTTGTTGGTATACCATTTATGACGTGTTCACCCCAACTGCTACCCAACAGTAACAACCGATTGTTCAAGTCATTCGATGCGTTAATTCAGGCGGCCAGACGTTCATCAATTGGATTGCCAACTCGCGGTTAGATGACCAGCATGAGCTCAATTCCGAGGTAATACGCTTAAATGAACTTTCCTCACAGGTGGACTCTCTCTAAAACATGAGTGTCTTGTCTACTTTTACCGAAACCCCGAAATTAAAAATTTTATAGCAAGGCAGAATTCAGGACCTTCCCGTAGTTTTACTTTTTCATGTCCAATGCTGAACGTTTTCTGCATACTAATTAAAAAGAACTTTCAACGTTGAGAAAATCTTCCGCGAAATTGTATTCTTCGAATCATGCATTTCATGCTTTAACCTATTCTGGTCGATCATTTCTAGCGGATGAGAGGATATACAGTATGTTTAACCAGCATGCTATGACGTGCGTAACACCACAGTCGGCTTTTTCTGGCAAAAAAAAAAATAAATAAAAACTAAATCTTGCATGTCGCTTTTGTGCAAAGCCGTCGAAGGAAGTTTTACCATTTTATGAGCTCAGATAGCGGAAGACAACAAATCGCATCCTGCGGCAGGTATAGTATAACAACTGAAGAAATCTCCCCACTTCCTGTAAAGGATGCTCGAAGAAGATGCCAAAAACGACGAAGATTTTAGAACCGGATCACCATCAAAGCATAACATCTAATAATTTCGAACATGTGCCCGTATTTAGTCTTCAAGCTCGTTGGAGGTGATTCAAAAATAATTGATGAATAAATAAATAGTAAGAAAAAGTTCGACGGCATCATCTCCATACACAAGAAGGTAAAGTTAGAAATGGATAGTCAATGCTTCAATAAACTGTGAATTTTAGTGATCATGGCAATTCGAAAACCTGTGACAAAGTGGGGCACGAAACAGCATCTTCGCAGCATGCGTCACCGAAGAAAACTTTTCGACGATCCAACAAATTTTTTCCGTATGGATAGCTTGATTATTTCATGTTGATCTAGTGAAACGATCAATTCACGTTCGGTTTTCAGAGAATGAAAATTGGCATGTTTCATCTTCATGCGTCATCGCACGTAATCATCGATTCCGAGCATCACAAAAAATAACCCAGGTGTTGACCTGGATAGTCGAGTTTTCCTCTGATTTCAAAACATGCATCAATAAATACTAAGAACAAAAAATTCGTCGCGTGTCTTGATGGTTTCCACGGAATTGAACTGAGACGGTATAAAAACAAGATGCCCGACAGCTTCGTTAACTTCCTGGAATTCCTGTGGGTGCGTCTTCGTAATTTATGCTACTTCGAATCAATCCCTTCTTTGATTTTGTCCGCTTATAAACAAATCAGGATAGATGGGCTATTAGATCATCGAATGAAAAAATTTATTCTTCCAAGGAACAGAAAAGTAAATGTACATCTTTTTTCTTTAAGATAACCCGACATGCGTCCTAGATCTGCTGATTCTTACCGACAGTATAGTCATCGAAACAAGCATCAGTAATTATCGATAGTTCGCGGAGTGTTACGGAACAATGTAAGGGCGCTTCGTCATTCCACCATCTGGAAGGAAAAGTCGTGCAGCCAACATGTCCGGAGGAATTTCGAAAATTCGACTGGAAGTCTCATACAGTACGAGTATAGCTTTTCGTGGATTTGCATGAGTCGAAATCGTACGAGTCCAACGGTAAGAGATAGACTGCTTTCGGATAAGAGCGACACCTACATTCCCAATGAATGCCTCACAAAATTAATTCGGTTCAGGAAGCTACGACACGCCAGTGAAGACGCAAGCTCCCGATTTATTGGCACCCTTCCGATGATTTTCTTTCTTCCTCTCGAATGAAGTCATGCAGTTAACTGCGGACTAGATCGACTCACCAGAGTACTAGCGTTCCAGCAACAATCACTTGGAAAAATCACGCGAAAACAGTAACAACGGGTACATGCTTCGATAAACTCAAGAACTGCTCGTGGTTCCGAGTCGTGCAGCAAAAAGCAATCAAAAAGAGGATGTTTCGCGCAGGTTTCGTACGACATCTATTGCATTTCCCAGCATCTGCCCAAGTGATTCGGGCGATTTTAATACGACATCTACCGTTAATTACGAGTTATTCGGCCTGATTCAACCCACATCGGCACTCGCTCTTGGGCGTACATTTTCTTTTTGACCATGCTTGAGGCATACTACTAAAAACATGATTGAATGTGTCTTTTTTTTTCAAGATACAGCACATTACTTACAAGAAAATTCATTCGGGAGAATACGTTATGCACCTCAGTTTCAAATTCTTTCCCAACAATCCGTACGATAGGTTAATAATTGCAATAAGAAGGAATTCATCGAAGATTTTCATCTCGCTTTACTGCACCAGTTGGTGGTAGTGACAAAAATATGTTGGCTGCAATAAATTTGAAGTGATAAAACATTTGATATCATGGAATATCAATCGAACACGTGACTCGACCTTTCCGAATCGCGTACTTCTTTTTAGGAACATGTTTCCTTTGGCGGGATTCCAGAAGAAACTGTAGTCCAGATTACACTCCTGCACATAATTACTGAAAATTGCATTCGCTCCAAGTCACGATGCATTTCGTATGTATAGAGAAATATGCGAGAGATGGTATGAAACACGGCGTGTGGGGAGTGAACGTCTCACTAATACGAACAGGCTGGAATTTAATGTACAGTACATCATTCCCGTTGTTAAACCGATCGAGACGACCAATAAACTGGTGGCACCAGATACATTTTCATCCACGCAAAAAAAGCAAGCAAGCAATAGTCAACAGATTGGCTCACCTTTTACTGCTATCCATCATACACGGATCAGAAGTCGTGTGTCCGGTCGATACCTCTTGTCCGTTGACAGCTGATATGACGGTTTTCAGCGGGTCAATCTCTTCTGGAGTGGCTTCAAACATAGGTCGAGGGAAGACATTGCCCAGCGATGACATATGCTGCCATGACACCCAGCGGGACCGCTTCGTACCCCGAAAGCCTCTGCCGGATTCGTCGTCGTCACCATCGGCGTCACACGGCGAATATGACACGGAAATAGCTCTGTCTCTATGGCTCCGAGCCATCTTTCAAATACGAGATCCCTAATCAGAATTTTAACTCACTACATAAAAAAGATGACTGTTAGCATCGTGCAAAAGTCGCGAAGTACGACAATCACTGGCACGAACTAAATTTTAGGGATCACAGATGACCAAAATGTGAGGTTGGTATAAGTCACTTCCAAGGCGCCCGCACGGCTGGTGCAATGGGTACGCCGCACACGGGGCGAGAATTGAGTTAAGAAATCAAAATAGTGCTGTACCTAGTGTATCATACTTCAGCGATTCAAACTTCGAAAAATGCAGGGATTAGAACAAAGAATAGTTGAATATTGGCTTTTCAAACATTTTTGAGACAGGACAATTTTACAGAACGTAGACACTTCAGTCTAACATTAAAAAAAATTTAACATTGAAAATGGCTAAGAACATATTTATGCATGATTCGAAAATTTTAAAAAGCTGCTCAAGAAGAGCCATATCAAGTTTCAGAGATATAAAATGTCATGTTTGAAGCTTACATGAAGAAAATACATGAAAAAAATTGAGTAGATCCAAGGGTCGGGTATTTATACCCAAAAAATATGACCGGTAATTTAAAAAACCCAGCTCATTTAGTCACTCTCAAGTTATCATGAAAGCATTTCAATTTCAACATATTCAAGATTTTCAAAAGTTTGAGTTCTCATTTCATATTTCAGGATGCACACCATGGTTTAATTTTATTTTCCTGCAAAAAAACCCTATGATCTAACCCTTCTGATCATCCGGTCTCCATGAAAAAATTTTTCATGCTACTGCTAGCCCTCCTTTCTGCAACATTCTTAACGAGTATGTTCTGTCTTCTCTGAGCAATATACTGTATCTCAAAATGTCATTTGGGAAAGTGAAACCTTAACTGAAGTGGAACATTCAATATATTTCACGCGTTTAAAATTGTAGATGAATGCATAGATATAGAAAATGTCAGCTCGTGTAGTAGCTTTAGAAGGAGCGGTTTCTGTCAACTCAGGAAACTAGTCCTCTCAATTTTTTGGTGTCCAGAAATGGTACTACAGTATATATGCATCAACCCTTGAAAGACCATGAGAAGATAGGACGTGGAAGGATCCAATGTAATCTCAAGAGAATTTTGGAGGCCAATGCGTTATGCCCATGTTCAAAAAATTACTCATTGTACAGGACAACTTACAGCAGCATCACGCTGTGAAATAAATTTTGATGAAAATTTTTCAGAATAAAATTTTCCATACTTTTCAGTTCAGCTGAATATGAGTGCACTATCATTTCGAGTACATTAACTATCTTCGTTTGATACGGCTGTGAGCAGAACCTTTCTAACATACTTGCTTCAACTTTGCATCACCGTGCTCCACGTCCGTGGCATATAAACTAGGTTAATGTAATTTGTTTTTCCCGGGAAAAATTTACACATAAGGTTCACAGTTGAATTTCCAGGGTTAAAGTGAACTTTTAGGAAGATAATACTACAATACAAATACATTAATGAAATCAGCATTGGTACTGTAGACTTGTAGAGTTCAGAAGGCAGAAAGTAATGGGGCGAGAAAACTGCAAAAACTACATGGGAAAATGAGTAAAAATAAATACGGTAATAAAACAGTTTTTTTTTTTACACTGAATCTCGAAAATTTGTTCCATCAAGTTTTGTACAGCTTGGTGCCGAGAGCGCTATTGTCAAGAGTCAAGACCTTTCCGAACATTCCGTTATTTCTGTAATATTAAAAACGGCCAAAGTAGAAATTAGACATGCAAACGTAACAACTCAGAAAGCCGTAAAATGAGTGCCTTTCCCTCAAAATTTGTCAAGAACCAAGCGAGAACGCTAAGTACACATACAAAAACCGTAATGGGGTTTCTCTTTTCTTTGCAAAACCTATTGACCAGGGCCATACGGATACGAACCGTTTCCCAGAAATTTTCTTCAATATATGGGAACGATGTCGAAAACCATGAAGCTTCGATTCCCCCATTCCCAGAAAATAGTTGTATTTCAAGAGTCCATCGTCGTTCAACGCACGCGACCAGAAACCAACAGCAGTCGACGTGCGGCAGGTGCCAGTCTGCCGTGCAGGAGTTTCACGGTCCCCAGGATCTGAAGATCGCACCGGACTAATGCACGTTTGATCCTTCCGTGAGCCAGACGTTCCACTCCGCGACTTGGGCGGCGTGAACGACGATCCGCTTCCGGACTCGGGCAGTGACGCATGCAAGGATCACAGCGGAACGGACATTGGAGGGGAGCACGAAGGGTAGAAAAAAATAATTTTACCAGAATCTCCTCAATTCACGAAGGGGACAAAAAGAAACCGGATCAGGAATTCTAATTCGGGATATTCCCAGAAGCCCTGACGGGGCATTTTAAAACGAACAAAGGAGCAGTTCGAGTTGCTCAGGATCTTCTGTTACCAACGCATTTTGACTACCCAAGTTCTTTCGAATAAAAGGCACGTTAAAAAAAACCCGGTTCAACAATCAGGGTGCTTCTACTATTTGATGGCGTCTTACTCGTTCATGTCATGTCAAATGCAAATCCTTCAGACGATATTACCTGGGAGGATGGCAGAGCGAATGGCGAACAGAGAGCAAGAAAACAGAATATTCCGGGTGAACCTTTGAAGAATTCCATTGATTAAAAATTTATGCAATGAAAATTATGAAAGTGAAATGCACCGTACAGTATAAAATACAGTATATTGGAAAGCGAAGACATTTTTCTTTTTGCGGCACAAAAATCTAGTGTGTTGTATAATTGATAGCCTCTCACATTCGAGTAATTCCTACAACTTATTTGGAGTTCTTCACTTTTCCATCCAAATTTACGACAAATCCACCTTTCACGTACCGTACTGTACCGTATACATCTCAGATTCATAACGGAAAACTTCGTTACCTTTCACGACTATCTTTTCGCTTGCCTCGATCAAAATTGACTTTTGTATCAGAGTAAATCAGAGCTTCAACAACGTACGTAAAACCCGAACAAGCGTAGAATTTAAATCGATATTTCACTAAGCTCCCGACATCGGTTACTGGAATAATGCGCATTTTTATGAGCCAGTTATATAAATCGATCGACTTTTCGCTCAACATGCAAACGTCTTGCATAGAGCGCACGTGAACTAACGTTTTCAAAGAAAACATTGCCTTATCGGGAACGCAGTATCGATGCGAAACCAGCGTCCGTCAACTTGAGCCGCGGAAAGCACCAGGCCGGGATATTTATGAAATATTTCCGAAGCAATTCTTTCATAGTTAATGCTTCGAATTCCTGGGATAGGCGGACAGGCACTCGAATATCTTCCCTTGAGCAAATCTAAAACGAATCGATACAGCCGGATAATTATTCTTCACATCAAGCAATTTCATCGTGAATGGTCGTTACCGGATTATGTCGATCATCATGGTCCATCCAAAAAATTCGAAACATAATCCCCACCAGGCAGTCACAACTCACAAGACACCTTCCTCAATTATTTTTGCGGATTTATCAGGTTCTTTCGGTACCCAAAAGCACTGTACCAACACTCACCGGATGCAATAGTTTCAACTCTTCGGAAGTGAAAACAGACGCAGTTACTTCGCGTGCTTTTCACAATCCGGAACTGATCGAAGTACTGTATCTCAAGCCTGGGTTCTCATAAAAATCAAACGCAGTCGTTGAACAAACCGGAACACTATTTGCTGACACCGCTCCGAATATACCAAGGGTGATACGAACGGCACGCTCTTCAGGACAAGCGTAAGTTTTCGCCCGCGATCATTAATCTCCATTCTGTTCACGTGTTCAATCCCTATTCATTTTTGGTTTCTCGTGACCCATGTAGAAAACAGTCAAAACCGCTGATTATGAACCTTCGTGGATTGTTCAGACCTTTTCGCATGAAAAAATATGAACAGAAAGTCCGATCATTTGTCAGTATCACAAATGCTGCAAATGAATCAACAGTGCCTGATGTATCAACAGAGTGCCTGATGAATCAACAGTGCCTGATGATTCAACAGCCCTCGTATTTGGAGAGGAATTGAGGACATGACCTATATATTTTTTGCCTTGTGCATCACCTCTATAAGCCGAGTCACAAGAAAGACCAAGGCCCTCCATGCGCAGCTTCAGCCATGATGATTCAACTATTCGCAGATAGATTGACAGCAATCTACTGTTGAAATAAATTGAGGAGAAATTATAATCATCAGTCACTGTTGACACATTCGCAACTGCTGTGATACTGCGGAATGATGAAATTGTAATCTCCTCTTCTCAAGATCAGGTCTGGAACCCGATCAAATCTGGAAGATTCCCGATCAGCATCATCTGACTTTCCCACTACACAGACACGCATTGAAATTGGCGGAGAACATTGGGAAAATTATTCAAGATATGATAACATAGATTACCTGATCTAATTTTCTGCAAAGGATTACCCCTCTATTAGGCCATAATCTGTTTCCCTCATTAACAACCAAGGGTACACGTTTAAAATACTTCAGTCTTACCATAAATATCTTGCAACTGATCTGCATTTGTCTCAGATCTCAAGCTCTGCAAAACTACAGTACATTTTCCACTTCCAAAATATTCAAAATGGAATCTCCGGTTCAAACCGAACAGTAATGGGTTATTTTTTCTCTTGTCATCTGACAATAATATCTGCCGTGATTATAAGCTCAATTCTGGTAGGGATAAAAATAATGTATCGGTTTAGTTTCATTTACGGAGAAACGTCACTTCGCAAGCCTGGTCGGTATACTAGGTTCGAAATTTACCACGCTCATTACAGCACAAGGAAACCCCGGACCTTGTACGTTCCTTCTCTAGATCAGATCAGCATCCAAAAAAGAGGTCAACTACGCTTCTGGTCTACGAAGACGTTGAAAAAAAAAGCCTCGCAGACCTCGGGGGTTTCAAACGAAATTGGAGGCCTGTGCAACTCCGAAGTTAATTTTGTGGATATCGGGAGAACGGTCATAAGGATCCTCGATTCCGATTTTTACGACTTAAAGAGCTGGAGCTCGTACCCCTTTCCTCTCCAACATGGTGTAGTCGACTTCAGTAACGAGTTCCCGCCTGTGTAGACCTTTCGCGCGCCTTCATTGCTTGCCTAGCATCAGCGGAGAACAATTAAATGGAAATGCACGGCACTTTCAATGTTGAATATCAAGAAGAAGCCGCGCTTGCAGCGTCACCGAAGCACTTTCCTCCGAAACCGCTCAAAGTGGATGTAATGATATTTCATGTGAAATTGTATAGCTCCAACAATATCACATACAGTAATAAGACACGCGACAGGTAAAGGAACTTGTGAATATTCAGACAAAATTAAAAATCCACGGGAAATACATTACTGCATAGCGGATCAAACAAATTTTTCAAGTACAGTATTTAGACCGAAAACAATTGGAAAGCGATGGCACCTGGTTTTCTGTTCGACTGCAATGTTCACAAACGTACTATAATGACACCTGGCAATAAAAATTAACATCGGTATTTGATTTCTCTCAACTCGACGATCAAGTCGCACGGCAGAGAAACAGTTCGTAAACGTTCCCAATGAGGCATAGACCGAGATTTTCGCAGGGGCCACGCGAACTGCCTCGAAAAGTGAAAGAAATCGATAAAAATCAGTCAGTAAATAAAACGTATTTTTGCCTTCAATTGCGCCCACAACTCTGTTCTCCAGAGTGGTTTGTTCCTCGTTATATTCGTTGTTCGAGAGGCATTTTCCTTCGAAAGTTATGAGAACAAAATTATGCGTTCAAAACGAGAACATGGAAGACGCCGGATTGAGTCTAGAAAATAATAGTGAAAAATGTATCAAAGGAAACAATAAAGCAGCACTTTCGAATGATCAAGAATTGGACACTGCTCAACGAACGCCAACAGGCACTATTATCTTTAGATAACGCGGGTAGAGGAAATCATTAAAAATTCTGCGTCAGTAGGCTTTAATTACTGTACTGTACATCACCTCCACTTCCAAGGCACATCCGAATTCATAAGCACGCAAACCGCCGCCTCGGACGATGTTTGGAACAGTTCATAGTTTCTGCTTCTTACTGGTTTTTCGGAAACTCGGGTTTCTTTCATCGGATGCTCGTTATTTGCGGGGTATTCGTCACATGAGGCACCACTGTACAGTATTAGCAAGCTACCGCGCTCACGAGGTCTTGAATACATCCCCAGTGGGTGTCCAGACTCGTATAGTAAGTATCCTCGCCTGGAAAACCGCCAACTGGGTCTTGATCATTCACAAACCGAGGAGAGGTGCATGCACACGCGGCCGAGGTGGGAATGGCTGACGGCAACCGCGCGACAGCTGAATAGCCCGGCTGAAAGTAGCCGGCTGACTGTTCATCACTTTGATATATAGCCGTCTTTCCAGACTCAAAAGCTCGCCAGGCTTCGGTTCACGACTCCTGTGATTCATGCTCGACTTGCGTGTCAAGCTTTTCCACAAACGGAAAAATTACTCAAGTTTTCACGAAAATGTCGGACTCCGCAGATAATCGCTTAACCACCCTCCCCCATACGTTGAACATAACATTTCGCCATGAATACCGACAAGTTTTTTCGACGGATGACAGAACTGCCACAAGAGCGCGTACGCTTTTACGTCGGCTGCCAGACATTTCCATGAGAACGTGACACGAGCGGGTAAAATCGCGCTACGTTTCGCGGAAAGTGATAGAAATTTCGCAGAAATTTCGAACATGAGGATGAAAATAGACCTCATTAGCCAACCTAGACTGAGGTGCTTTGAAAAACTACGGGTGATTCAAGAAATTCAAGCGTTGAACCCTTTAGTACTTCGGTAGAATTTATTGCTTCTGTACCGTGACACAAAACAGGGCATCACATTCGGAACTACTGGCGATTCCTTGCGACTAATCGTAATTTCTGCCGATTCCATAAACCCACGAGCAGCTTCGTCGGTAAAAGAAAAAAAAACGGTGCCAGGACTTCAGGAGCTGAACAGATCATAAACCCAGAGCTACTTGACGATGGATCAATAATACTGTACAGTACTGGATAGCTGCTGTAAATTTCGACGACGATAAGTAAGTGCGCAAACCAGCGATGACGTGAAAGAAATCATAGAACATTGCCAACATATAACGTTGACTTACATGTTCTTTCGAAGCCAAGTTCCATCAGATGATGATCATCTCAACAAGAACTCTTTGGATGAAGAAACTATCACGTCCGAA